CTTTAGGGACAATAATCCAGTTTGGAAAGGATAGAAAGTGTATTTTGTGGTGTCTATAAAGGTGTGGAGGCAAGTGACTGAGTCTGTCTCTGGGAACAGATTATTTGGAGCACTTGAAGGGAATTCAGTCCAGTGTTAAGAGTCAATCTGGGTTTTCCTCCTCATGCATCATAACCAATAATAAAGGTTCTGCAGGCCAGATTATGCCCACAGTGGCATCTGTGTAGCCCCATCACCATCAGTAAGCTTGTTTTGGGTTTGGATGCAAACCCGATTGGATTGGAATTTTTTTTTTTAAATAATTGCACAAAGTGTAATAGAAACCAGCTCTCCTTCTCTTGACTGTATAGGCTCTGCAGGATTGACAGGAGTAGAAAGAAACAAATGCTTTTGTATTTTTGTTTGTCAGAAAATGGGACTGATTACTTACAGGGAGCACAGAGTCACTTTTTTGTGTTAGAGAAGCATTTTCAGGCTTGTTTAGAAAAGCTGTTACATTTTTCTAAAACCTCTAAAAGTTACCTATTTTTTTTTCTCGGTCTAAGTCTCGGCAGTTGGACTCCTAGTGCTAAGGGAATCTGTCTGAACAGATGGAGAGTTACAAAAATAATTCCAGTAAAATATGTGACATATAGACAGTGCATATGTCATGATCTGTAATTCGGAGGTTTAATTGGCAAACTTTCAGGAAGAAATGCAATCTTTATTTATGCCTTTGCCATTTCAAAATTATGCTTCCATAACAACCATGCCCAATAAAACCTTTATATGGTCTCATCATATAGTCTCCCTATATATAATTGCATATTTATATTATGTATATTATGAATATTTATTTGTTGCTGCATTTTCTGGAGATTACAGCAACAGACTAAATCAAGAGTTCCAAGTTCTATTCCCTATTTTGTCATTTGACTCCCTTAGTGGCCTTGGTCAAATCACAAACCACTCTGTGCCTTAGTTTCTTCATCTTTAAAACGTGGATACTACTTCCCGAACATTGTAAAGTGCTTTTTGATCTGAGGCTGGAAGAAAATTTAGATGTGCAAAATATTATTTTTACTTCATTTATTTTGATGTGTTTAGTGTTAATCGTTTATAGAACTTCATGTAGAGTACTAGTAAACATTTCATAGCATAGTATATTTTGCAAAAGTAATGTAGTCTTAGTAATATGAGACCTCACTATAAACCCCTGCAATTATTTGTTTAGAAATGCAGCAAAACCACTGGGCTTTGTGTGAATTAACTGATCTGTTGCGTAGTGAAGTGAAAACTAGAAGCAACTTTTTTTCAGTAGCTTCCAAATTTAAAAATGCAAGTCTTCTGTGTCCAAAATATACAGTAACACCAGTCAAGTAAAAGCAGTTCGTGGTAAAATTTGTGGATTGTGGTCTCTATGGATCTTTATAAAGATGGACAATTAAAATAAATTCTTACATGAAACCATTTGCTTTATTCTAGGGTTGCCAACTTCCTAATCGCACAAAACCGAACACCCTTGCCCCATCCCTGAGGCTCCCCCTCACTCACTCCATCCCCCCTCTTTCTGTCGCTTGCTCTCCCCCACCCTCACTCACTCATTTTCACCAGGCTATCTGTAAATGAGGATGTTCGCCTCACTTGAGTATTGGGGATTAATCCAGCTTCCTCTGATGCAAGGCACTATATAAGAGTTAAATATTATGCTTGTTTTTTATTGTGTCTTTTCTTAAAAATAAAACACTGAGCATATCATTGCTAATTGCCATGAAGCATAATGGACAGTTTTTATTTTTATCCAGCTACTTTTGCCTAACGTACTGCATACCTTGACACTGGCTTAGACTTTAATTTTTAATTATTTGATTTTGTGCCTTAAATATTCACCTGTCTTCAAGTAATGATTGCTCTAATGATTGTTCAGAAAATAAAACTATGGTAAATTTAGAGCATTTTCTAATTACTGCTTGATAGAACAATTTGCTTAGAACATGTTTTGATAATGATATTAAAAGTTTCAATAGCTCAACTCATTTTTACAAATCTTCCTTTTAAGTGATCTATAATGATTTTATTTGGTAGTGGAAATAAAATATTCTACAGAAGACCAATCCCTGTATTTTCAAAAACCAGCAACCTATTATCTCACTAGCTGTTTTTGTCACTTTCCTAATTTTCAGTAAATAAAGCATGAGTTGCACAGTGAACTAATTTCTAACAATAACCTCCCACTTTTTGTTTTGTAGCAGTAGCTCCACCACCAGGTGGAGGAGTAGTAATGATGCAGCTAAATATACCCAACAATCCTCAGCCTCGAACCCATTCACCTCCTCAATGGAAACAAAATAAATATTATTGTGACCATCAAAGAGGACAGAAATCCACCGAGTTTAGCACTTTAGACTGTGCCACGCAGGTATGATTTTGTTTTTTTCCCCCTGAGATCATTCGTATTATGACTCATATTTAAAAAGAGATAATTCATTTCTGGAGAGGAACAAAATAAATCCAGTGCTTGTCAAACAGTAATATTAATGTTGTTGTGTCCAGGATTTGAATATTATAAATATGTGATATGTTCAAGTAAATAAATTTAAAATCACTGACTTTTCAGGAACCAATATCTTTGTGTCATGTTTACTCTAGTTACAGCATAGTCCTCAACTAAATAGTCCTGCCACCTCACCAGCCCAGTCACCAGCACCAGTTCAACTATCAAACATGAAAAATCTCCGTCCCACGTTAACACCTCTTTCTATTGTGTCCCAATTTTCTAGATCTTTTGTCCCTGGACAAGGTAAGATTTTTAGCTAACTGAAATATATATAAAAAATACATGAATGTTCCATTTTTTTCCAATTGTCATCAGTTTTGAGGGCAAATTGTGATTTGATTTTTAATGTTTTTGCCAGTGTGTTCAAAAATGTGTTCCTTGAATTATATAAAAAATAACTTTATGCTTCTATACCCTCCTTTGCCCCAAATAAAATAAAAAAGCCATGAACTTCGTGCTCGTAATGGGGGCTTTCAGAACCATGCAGCTCCTTCATAAATAACTTTTCGCACTAAGGAATTGTAAATTTGGGATATATTTTAATTAAAACAAAACAAATTAGTTTTAGATATATTTGCTTAAAGTTTTATATTGAAACCGCAAACCTTAAATATGCTGTCACAACGGATGTTATTTTTATGGATAGAAAAGCTAGGTCAGTCCTATATGCCTACCCATTGCACTAGGTGGGCATGACATGGTACATGGGAAGGGGAAGTAGAAATGTAGGATAAGATAAACTGCCTTTTCACCAGACTTTTCATTCTTCATCCTCAATCCATTGATTAATCCACTGATCAAGCCACTACTTACACTGTAAACTCTTTGGATCAAAGACCGTTATGTTTGTACACTGCCCAGAACAATGAGACAGGAGCCTCTAGACACGACCACAGTAATGTTACTAATAATTGATATAGAGCTGTAGGTAGTGACCTCCCATCATTATCATCAATGGGCCAGAAAGTAGAGAGTCCTGCCATCTCGATCCTTTTGGGTCTGCCATGCTCTCACAATTAGTATTTTCTCAGAGAAACTCCTTGTAAAAGACCAAGAGCAGAACCTGCTGCCAGCATTTTAATGGAAGAGCAATGAGTGTGAAGTTTTCACTGATTAGAGACATGACTATTCTTCTGTCATGACAAGACAGTTCATTCACAGTGTTCAAATAACCAAGTCCAGATTAGTGAGCCAGTGTATAGCACATAACAATTGATTAGGTAGCTAAAAAGTTTATTATCTGATTAGTTGCTGCTACCTGTCAGAAACTGAAGGGTAGATGCAGTTCTAGAATTCTAGAATAATGGGTGTGATATGTGGAAAAAGTTTGCAGGCAGAAAAAGAAATTCTTTATTGCCTTGCTTTTCAGAAATAAATTTTATTTATTTTTGAACATATTCTCTACATAGGCTTCTTTCCCTAATAAATTGCATGTGTTCACTAACTTTTGCATAAATGTTAGACTTCCTATTGTCAATCATGTCTCAGCTTCCTTAGTCCCTTTTCATAATTTTTAAAGATTTCGATTCAATCACCTTACAGACCCCTCAAGTGGATGGGAATTTCAAGATGTGGGTGGAATTGGACCAGGGTGGAGCTGTGCACATGCTATTTGAAACATTGCAACAAGTTTTAATCTTATTAAAACTCTTTGGGGAGATTTGAATCTAGATGAGATTATGGCAGAGAAACCAGGGGATACAAGTGCTTCCGATAACTTTTAAAAAATGTATTTTTAAATTTAACGAGCCCTGAGTCCGCGACTTCTGAACTTGACAGTTTGTGCTCAGTTGATTATTTCCCCACAAGTTTACCATTGTCTGGTGAATTCTTTAAGTGCTTTTTTGCTCTCTTAAGATGTCAACTCTTGTATTTTTTCTGGTGGTAACCACATTACAATTATTTCCGTGTATACATTCATTCTACGTTGTATACCATATTTGTGAGGTGTAGACTGTTAAGAGCATTTAGAGTTTTTATATTAAACCAAGAAAAAGTATTAAGACTATTTTTCTCATCTTCAGGAGATGCCAGATACCCATTGCTTGGCCAGCCACTGCAATATAACCCTCCTCCCTTATTACATGGACATGTAACAGGCCAACAGGTATAAACAAATGCCAACTCCTGGGCATGTCTACACCATGTTAGTCTGTACCACTTGGCTGGTTCTACACTACAAATTCTAATGTAGTGATTTTCAACCTGTGGTCCATGGACCCCGGGGGTACGCAGACTATGTCTAAGGCAGGAGTTCTCAAACTGGGGGTCGAGACTAGGTCATTACATGAGGGGTCGCGAGCTGTCAGCCTCCACCCCAAGCCCCGCTTTGCCTCCAGCATTTATAATTGTGTTAAATATATTAAAAAAGTGTTTTTCATTTATAAGGGGGAGGTCACACTCAGACGCTTGGTATGTGAAAGGGGTCGCCAGTGCAAAAGTTTGAGAACCATTGGTCTAAGGGGTCCGCAAAAGGTTGTAATTCCCATAGTAGTTTTTAACCTGTGGTCTGCAGGGGAAATGGGTCAGGGCGCGAGGGCTTGCTCCAGCCGGGGAGCAAGGTGGGGATGTAGGGGCTTGCTCTGCCTGCCCCTGCTCCAGCCAGGGAGGTCGGGGCATGGGGCTGCCCATTTTTACAGGGCCCCGTTGGCCCAGTGGCTAATCCGCCATTGTCATTATACTGTATTAAAACCATGCATATAATACCTATTATCATGGTGTATATTACACCTAATATATATGTATTGGCTAACATGCTACTTTCACCTTTCCCTCCTATTTGCCCTCATACCAGGGACTGAACATGCAATGATGCTAGGCCTCAGGAATGACAGTGGACCCAGAAATCTGTCCCTCTTCTATACTATCATAGTGTAGCATACTAACTACAGCGCTCAGGGACAGTGGTTCATAACTTGTGACTCTTGTTACTTGTAACTCTTGTTTGTAACTTTTAATATTACAAATGTAATCATTCTAACCATGTGATGTTTGTCTGAGCTCAGTGTCAACCTGGACACAGACATGGAAACAGAGGAAGGAAACCAGCTAAGAAGGCCGCTTCAGCAGATCTTGGTGCAGGGGAACCAGGTATGTAACTGTTGGGTGATGCTGCACTCTGAGAGAACTGCTGAATCAAAAACAGAAGCAGTGAGAGAGCATTATTCTAATTTATTTATTGTATTATTCAGACCTGTGTAGGGGAATGGGACTGTGACATCTGATGCAGAATTGGATACATGACAGAGGACTGGATATTAATGGGTGTCTACACATGGGATGCAGGAGAGTAGGAGTTGCCTATGTTGGTGTTGTGTATCTGTGTAGGAAAGTCAGAGGGGTCTCAGCAGAGAGGAGATAGTCTGGGGTCATAGCCTTTGTCACTGTTGAAATTCCTATCTATAAGGGAGTAATGCCTGGAAAATATCTGTAGGTAGAGTGCAGCAAAGTAGTGTGCATGGATGTTGTGGGGGTGTCTGTAGGAGTTGGTTACATGGGATCTCATGAAGGTGTAGCAGTATGGAAGGTGCTTGTAGGGGGTACAGCAATGTCAATGGAATCTGTTTGGAAGCATAGGGGGCTGTCTGAAGGGTTTGCAGAAAAATGGATGTCTGTGTGATGGAATTGTCTATATGTGAGACTTGCGGCAGAATGGGAGTGTCTGGGGCAGCTGCAGATGTGCCAAAGGGAAACTGAGCTCCCAGGTATGAAAGTTGGTACAATTAATGAGTGAGATAAAGTAGGAGAGGGAGGGATGAATAGTATAAAAGGGAAGGACGGTGAAGTCTGAATCGAAGGAAGGTAAGAATGAACAGTAACTGAGCAAAGAGGGAGACAGCAAACACAGGAAAAGATGGGAATGGAGGGAAAGAAGAAACTATTAATCAAAAGCAAATAGAGAGGAAGAGAGAACCAGAGTAAACAGTAGATAGAGGAAAAACATAGAAAAGATAAGGGAAAAGAAAACCAAAGGAGACATAGTAAGTAAAATTATTTAATGTAACAGTTAATATCAAAATATTTGTAAATTACATATTTAATATAATACACAATTCTTCCATAACTGCCCTTAGCATACCAGAACTATGAATGTAATACATGAACTAAATACATTCCTGATTTACTTTTTTTTTTCCTGACGTACATCAAAACACTGCATTTGTTGCCAATAAATATGATGGGTGGAACAAAAGTACAACCTCGCTCCACTGTGCAGACCATAAGCAAGAAGTGCTACCCAATAAATGGGGACGGGCCTGGCCAGAATGCTAAGACTGTGTTCTGTGGACTGATCAAAATCTATTTCTTTGTTGGCTTGCTAGCTAGACCCTGAAAGGAGATTTGGAGGAGAGTTCATTTTGACTGGACAAGATCAGGGGGCATAAGAGGGAAACTAACATCCTCTTCCCCCGCTTGGCATTTTTTGCTCTTTGACAACATGTATAGAACTAGTGCTGTACCTTGAACAAATCATTTTGTATTCAAATACAATGTGCTGTGAGGTTTAATTTTTGTAAATCATTTTGAAATCCTCAGATAAATGATATTATTGTGATGGCAAAGAATTACGTTTTGTGTCACCTTTGAGACTAACAGAAGTATTGGGAGCATAAGCTTTCGTGGGTAAAAACCTCACTTCTTCAGATGCAAGTAATGGAAATCTCCAGAGGCAGGTATAAATCAGTATGGAGATAACGAGGTTAGCTCAATCAGGGAGGGTGAGGTGCTCTGCTAGCAGTTGAGGTGTGAACACCAAGAGAGGAGAAACTGCTTCTGTAGTTGGATAGCCATTCACAGTCTTTGTTTAATCCTGATCTGATGGTGTCAAATTTGCAAATGAACTGGAGCTCAGCAGTTTCTCTTTGGAGTCTGGTCCTGAAGTTTTTTTGCTGTAAGATGGCTACCTTTACATCTGCTATTGTGTGATCAGGGAGGTTGTGTGGCCAGCTTCCACCCCGGTCACACCACACGATCCATCGTCTACAGCCAAGCACTGAGGTACAATCGCATCTGCTCCAACCCCTCAGACAGAGACCAACACCTACAAGATCTTCACCAAGCATTCTCAAAACTACGATACCCACACAAGGAAATAAAGAAACTAATCAACAGAGCCAGACATGTACCCAGAAGCCTCCTGCTACAAGACAGGCCCAGAAGAGAAACCAACAGAACTCCACTGGCCATCACCTACAGTCCTCAGCTTAAACATCTCCAACACATCATCAGTGATCTACAACCCATCCTGGACATGATCCCTCACTTTCACAGACCTTGGGAGGCAGGCCAGTCCTCGCCCACAGACAACCTGCCAACCTTAAGCATATTCTCACCAGCAACCACGCACCGCACCATAACAACTCTAACTCAGGAACCAACCCATGCAACAAACCTGGATGCCAACTCACCCAACATTTCTGCTCTCGCATGGGCAAAGCTCTCCTTGACTCCATGAGGAGTTTCAGCTAAGG